GCACGTGCAGCGGCCCGTCAAAGCGCATCTGGCAGCTGGAGACGGGGGTGCCGGGGGGGGACTGCTTAAAGGAGAACAAGGAGAGCCGGGACACGGGCGTTTTCCGCTGCTCGATCATGTGGGTGGTGGCCACGTAATTCTGGTGGAAGTTGTGCAGGGAGCCCGGGTCGTCCCACATGGGGCCGTGCTGCACCTGGAAGCCCGGGGTGCTGGGAGTCGGGGGCGACGAGGGCTTGTAGTAAACGGAGCCCGAGTGAGGCATCATCTCCTCGGCCTGAGGGGGAAGGTGGTTGTGCTGCTGGTAGCTGTGCATCTGAATGTCTTCCACCTTAATAGAGGACTGCTGGCCGGACAGGGGCATTTGGTACAAGCAAGGTGGCTTCACGTCGTAGCTTGTGTTGTAGTTGTCCATAAAGGTGCTGAAGCTGGGGAGAGAAGTGGTGGCAGTGATTTCAGTGTTGGTGAGGTCCATGCTAAACTTGACAAACTCTGGAGTTAAGAAATCGGAGCTGTATTCTCCCGACGAGTGGTAACTGTAGCTCTGGGAGGCCGGGCTGGCTCCTTGAGGCGATGACCCATACTGAGCCTGAACACAGGGCATGGCTGGAAACGAAACAGCGTGATATAGACTCGGCCGGGTCAAGTGCGCGCTCCCGCCCTGCCTGCCTGCCTGCCGCGCCGCGCCCCCCCGGCGGCGCTGGAAGCGGGGCACGGGACAGCGAGAGGGAGCGGAGCGCGGCACGCACAGCTCGGGGTGCGGGACTGGGCCCCCGGGGGTGTCCCGCCGCCTCCCCTGCCCCTGCCCTCCCCCGGGCCCGGCAAAGCCGCTCGTGTGCGCAGGGAGCCCAGGGGGCGAGGGGCACCTGCCTGGACCCTGCGGCGCTCGGAGGCTACCTGGCGCTGTGGGAGTAGCTGTGTCTTTTGGGTATGAAAGAAATGAAGCTCACAAACCTTCAGGCGAGTTAGAGGCGTTTTCGAGGGAATTAAAGGCGGACAGTGTCGGAATTCAGTGGAGAACAAAGTTTCCAAGATTTTAGGAAACCAAGGAGGACTCCAGCCTGCCCAGTATGTTCGCTGAAACACAGACACAATAGACTTCATGTTCAGACTGGCTAGGGATGGACTCGAAACAAGCGTGTTGCCAAACCCCGAGCCTCTCCCGCCGCACGTCTTGCCTGGTTTGGTCAGACGCCGCGTGCGGCCTTTTAATCGAGAAATTCTCTTCCCAGTGCTGGGAGGGAAGCGCCAACACGATTTTTTTTGTCCTCGTGGCACTTTGACATTTAAGATAGTTCCCTAAAGAGTTCTTTTATGGGGAGAAAACTTACTGAAAGCAGGTTGTTATTTAGGTCTCGGGCAATATAATCATTCTGTTGTGTTATTTCCGTGCGAGAGAGACAGTGGATTTATTCTGAATCGCCCCACACATATCTGAGCGCCGTTACTGAGGACGGAAAAGGGGGGATCCTTGTCTGCATCCTCCCTCCAAGCCCAGGCACTGCAGCGAGACTTTGAACGACGGCCCTTTACAGAAAGGACCTACATGGCTGGAAGCCACATGCATTCACCAGCCGCGAGAAAACTAGCCAGGCAGGGATCCCAGATGAGAGGAGCCTGCCCAGAGCCGGAGTGAAACGTTTCCAATGGGTGCACTCGCACAGAGACATGTAATTCAGATTAATTACAAAGACACAGCACCGCCTCGCTGATTTGTTGCTCTGTTTTCTGAACTTGCACTAGTCGGATTTAAAAAAATAAAAAAGGGGGGGGGGGACTTTTCAGCCCAGCAGAGCGGCGGACTCCTCCAAGCACCAGCGCTAACTTCGCCCCCAGCAATGCCATTTGCTCCGCAGCGGGACACCTCCCGCACGCAGCCGACCAGCACCCGGCGCGCCCCCGCACCGGCCCCGCCGCGCCGCGCCGCACCCCGCCTCCCCCGCGGCCTCGCTCCTCTGCCAAGTCGCGCCTGGCATCACTGCCGCTGGCCAGGGCACAGCAACCATGTGGGAGGGAGATCGGCGGGGGAA